CATCATCGACTTTCATTTGCTTGGAAAGATGTGCCCCACGTCCCGCATTACGCTCCCTTGCCTATATTTGGTCGAGATGGGAGCCCGTGTATTGTTTCCCTCCCAGCTGTATGTTTTGCTCAACACGAGCCGAGCGAGAGAGAGGGAGAGAAACCAGGCACGCCTTCTTGTCCCCGAAGGGTACATGTACCCCCCTGTTCACTTTGCCCCGCATACCTTCCGTTCTTTCACCTTAAAGGAGGGGTAGGCAGGAAGGAAGCCAAGGTATTGGCCTCCAAACCTGGCAAACCCCTACATTAGCCCTCTTTCCCCTGTTCTATCTAGGCTGCTTTCCCTTGTACGTGAACTCTCGAGAACGCGATTGTACCCCCACAGATGGTCCAGCAAGTCGATGGGTTCGGTAAATAATGGTTTGTGCTGACAAGCAGGACGCTCCGTCGACTGTGATAACCCGGCTACACAATCCTTACCTATCGCCCTGTTTCTGCTTGCTCTAATAACAATCACGTCTTCGGTCGACGCGCGACTTCCCTGCTTTTTAGGTGATGACTCACATCATGTTCCAGGTGGTGCATTGGCTCTTTGAAGTCCTCAACGAGGACCGCTTGCAGTACAACAAAGAGAACCCCGACGAGAGCCAGGGGTCCGAGGGACAGCTGGGGCCTGAGCAGCTGCGTGTTTACGAGGCTCCGGGGTTCAACGCCATGCTCCGAGCAGCTGACTGGGCGGACAAGTACCGCACTCCGGCGTCCGGAGGAGGAAGGAACGGCGGCGCGCCTCCGAGCAAGAAGAAGATCAAGTGGAAGTACCTGGATACTAGCAACGACCAGGTCTTCAACCAGACGTGTGTGTAGTGTTGCCTCCTCGAGAACAACCAACGGAGAGTCTCCGACGACGTGCTACCCCGGCCGCACCCGGTCGATCTATGCACACTTTATTGTCACTCACAAGGCTTTCACACATCGGATAGATCATGAGCTAGCACACCTTGTGTCCTTCAGCTCACCACCGAACCAATATTCCACGATCACCTATGTCCTTCAGCTCACCTCTGGGAAACATACCCTGATCGCCTATGTCCGGCTCGCCTCCCATACGTAGGGGTCCAGCGAAATATAATGAAGCGAGCGCGCAAAAGAAGGGGGGGAGAGAGAGAGAGGCAAACAGGTGTAGTTCGATATGAATGTAGCCTATGTAAGCCACCACACAGAGGCCACCACTGCCACTGCACACACACACACACCTCACCCGCCACCACCAGCCAGACGTGAACGCCGGACGTCATTTGATGGTGTAAACGAGAAGCTCTCAAATCTGTTGCTTGCTGCTGCTGCTGCTGCTGCTGTGTGCATGTGCACTACTTACTTCCCTCGCTAACTCCTAGCAACAGGCAACAGGCTCTAAAAAAATCGCCCCGATGGCCCCTAAGTGTGTACATCTCACTGTCTAGCTGTTTCGGGGTGCATCTGTTGTGGATCAAAGATTGGCCTGTCGGCAGTCGACGGAGAAAGACCGCAGATTGACTGACTTGTGTGCACTCGCTTTTCCCTCGCTTTTACGTTGCCAGCAGCAGGTGACGGGCTCTGACAGTCTCGCACCCGAAGCCTCCTATGATGTGTACCTTTGGCTGGCCTTGGTCTACAGCAGTCTCGTATGCTGCTGTGCTTGTTGTCTCGTGTGTTGTCTACGTGTGTGTGTCATCATGTATGTGCTGCTGCTACCGCTTCTGCTGCTGTGCTACGTCTTTCAGGGGATTCCCGCTCGGCGGTGTGAAACAACCAGTCAAAATTCTACACATATCTCTGTCCTACATTGTCGGCATGTGATTGGTGGGAGCGCGGGTAACAACCCGCCTCCACCCCACTCATACTCGATGATTTTTAGTTGTGTCTTCCTGTCAAACATAAAAATGGCCGACGCATGGGCCCGGTTCCCTATGTCCTTCAGATCACCTCGGGGAAACTTACACCGAATACCTACTCGGAGTATGCCCTAACGATCAACAGGGACATATCACACCCCTCAACAAAAGAGCTATTTAGCTCGATCTGCGTGGATCTGATCTGTCGTATGTGTGAAGGCTTTGGACCATGAATTTTCTACCGGTGTCTGATGACTGTGGACGTTTTGGGGGCTTTGCAATCGCCCTCGGGACACGGGCTGAGCGTCGCCTCCTGTTGTCTCTCGGCTGGCGCTCATTTCCCTTTCTTGCAGGGTGCGCATATTTTTGGGCAATTGCGTGTCCAAGATCGTCAAAGACAAGAAGCTGACGACGGACAACATTACGTCCAAAGCAGACGCGGACATTTTCTTCAAGCCGCACCTGACGTTTTCGAGTCCCGCGTCGGCCGCGGCTGGATCAGCTGCTGAAGGGGCGGCGACGGGAGCAGCTGCCGGAGAGGCAGGAGCAGCAGGAGAGGCTTCTGGATAGAAGCTGTGCCCTCTTGGCCTGTACCACAGCCTGCTCAGAACCCCCCGTGCGCGGCGAAAGTAAACGCAGGTGGGAGGCCGCAAGGTGGCACCATCGACCGACCATGTCTCTTCGGACGCGAGTCGCTGTGGTTTGGTTTGGCGTGTGTCTAGCTTTCTTTTGCGCGCACTGCCAACAGAAGGCATTTTTGTTTCGTTTTTTCCCGTGATGGGAGAAGTGACGACGCTTGCTTTTTTTTTTAGTCGTGGGGGCACGGATTTTTGTAAACTTGCGGATGATCATGTAAATTATTAGATCACCTCGTCGTGTTCATATCCTCATGTGTACAATAGGGTGATGTCGTCGACGCTGCAGGGCGGACGGTACACTAGTCGAATGGTAGGGTACTCTGCGCGTAGAAAAAGACGGTCTTGTTCCGTTGTTGTTGTCGACGTGTGTGTCTTTAAATTTTGGTTTCGTATTTTTGTCTGTGACTGCAGACGGTGCTTGTTGTTTGTTTGTTTTTTGCGCGAGCGGGGGTTCTGTAAAACTACGGGTGATCATGTGTTTGTCGAGAGAGGCTTAAGGGATGCGTGTGCATCCTGTTCATTTGTATAATAATGCGAGGTCGTCGACGTTGCACGGCGGACGCTGCCGGTCGAATGGCACAGGGTTTGGTACAGCTGTTGTTGGGGTACATTGTCTTAGTTTTTACATCTAGACTGTCGTAAAGAGGGTGGTGACTCTTCTTGCTGTGTTTTTTTAGTCGTGGCTGACGGAGGAGGTGCGCGAAGCCGCGGACTTTCCTCTCGCCAAGGACTTTGTATGGTTTTTTGTGAGTACGTCTTATCCACGTGTTTGTTGCTATCTGGTGGTCTGACCCTTGCCGGGTTCGACCAAGAAAGCTCGCGGGGTGTTGTTCAATTATCCGAATCATGTATATGCACGTGTAAAACGTTGAGTTCCTCGAGGACGGTACATAGGCTGCGCGTAGAAGTAGAGAGGGATGTCTCTTCTTGTGCCCCTGCGTGCGGGGGCGTTTCTAGTGTTGTGGTCTGCGGGTGTTCGATTGTGTCGGTTGTTTTGGCTTGTCTTGTGATGGAGAGAGTGAGAAGGCGGGTTATGGTGATATCTCGGTGTGCGTTTTGTGGCATATGCTGTGTCTCCTGTGTAGCGATCATTCTCTTGGATTTATGGTGTCTACTCTTGTGAGTTACTGTGGTGGCGCTTCGTGTTGTAGCCTGTCATCTGGAGAGGGTGGAGGGTGGCGATGATGACTCATGTGTCGCGTTTTTTTTTTGCCATGGGGGGAGTTGAGCGCGTATTTCCGCGACGGACTCCATTGTACTTGCGGGTATGTTTCTATTGCTGCATGAGATTGTTGCCTTTTTGCCGATATACCTTTCGCGCTGTGCGTCGGTCTACTGTAGAGAGGCACATATTGCATCGAGAAGAGTCGCTGTCGCTTTTTTTGTAATTTACAAGCATGTATGTGTGGATTCGCGGGAAAAGGAAGAACTCTTTATCCATCTCTTACTGTCCTCGACCACGACGGCTGTGAGGTGCCGGGGGCGGGGGCGGGTACGACCTTCGCGTTGTCGGCCTTAGCGAACGTGCCTGGCTAACTATCTCGTACATTCACCGAGCCTGCCAGTCGAAGTGCTCAGAGCACCTTGGCAATCTCACGCTCGCGAACTAGCCTTGCCAAACACATCGTAGGCAATGAGCCTTGCCACCATCCGGGTCGAGCTTGCAATCCCACTTTCGCGAACAAGCTTGCCAATCGCCAATCGCACGCTCGCGAACTAGCCTTGCCAATCTCATGTTCGCGAACAAGCTTGCCAAGCACATCGTAGGCAATGAGCCTTGCCAATCACACGTTCCCGCACTAGCCTTGCCAATCTCAAGTTCGAAAACGACCTTGCCAAGCACATCGTAGGCAATGAGCCTTGCCAATCACACGTTCCCGCACTAGCCTTGCCAATCTCAAGCTCGAAAACGACCTTGCCAATCGCCAATCGCACGCTGGCTACCTAGCCTTGCCAATCTCACGTACGCGAACGAGCTTGGCAAGCACATCGTAGGCAATGAGTTTGCCAAACCGTTCTTCTGTCAGGGGTTGCCAAGGTTGGTGAAGGGACGGAGGTTGGACAACCCAACGGAGTCTTCAGGGGCTCGACCTTGCCGATGACCCCCCCCCCCCCCTTGCCGAAAAGTCCCCAAGGGGGTTCGACCTCCACCTGTGGATGCCTGGCCAGAGGAGAAAAATTCCCGGACCTTTTCATGAAAAGTGGTGGAGGCGCCGTTTGGGATGGTGAGACCGGTGGCGTTCCTCAGCGCCGCCGACTGATCGGGCGTAATCTCGAGGTTGGAGTGATTGCCCAGTGGACATGAGTTGCTGTATCGCCAATCAAGCCCAAATTCTCGACGAGTCCGAACGACCCGGTTTTGACGATCGTTGAAGTTGTCTGGCCATATGGGTGACCCTTCCTGTGGGCAACGAGAGCCGCAATTGCCTCGAAGACGCCAGCGACGTCTCCCATCTGAGAGCCTACCCCGGGCAGAGACGAATTGGAAAATATGGCTTGACATGCTTGTCGCGCTTGAAGCTGAGGTGCGGACGGCATATGCAGGCGTGAAGGAGGAAAGTAAAGCGTTCGGCAAGTGGGCACGTGGAAAGCGGCAGGCAAGAAGATGGCACGGCAACGACATGAGACGGCAAGGCAGGTAAGAGCATGCAAGACGAAGAATTGGCGATGTAAGTGAAGCCAAGATACGAACAAAGATGGAACGCTCACCACGATATTCGGCGACAGGTCGCACTCGTCGAACATGGAGTCTCTCAGTAACTGCAAAGCCGCAAAGAAAGACCCGGCAGCAGGGGTGCCGGCTGTAGTATCTGGAAGCGGCTGACCATCCCAGGCCGCGAGTGCCAAAGCGAGCGCAGAATTGAAGAAGCAATTGTTGCCCTCGTTGGGGATGAGGTGGGCGACTCTTCCGGTCGCACCTGGACCGTGGCGACCAATGCGTTTTGGTTGTTTGTTGGGCGGCCGTGGGCCGGCTTCTCCGATGTCGTCCAAGGTGGCGTAGGCAGGGGTGAAAGACCCCGGGTCTTTGAGGAAAATCATCATAGTAGCCTCGTCCAGACGGTGCAGGTAGTTGACGATGGCGACGATGTCTGGATTCTGAGGCTGGTTGAGATCTTGGAGGGTTACAGGGAAAAGAAGGTTCAAATCGTCAAGACCGGTCGCACGCGAAAGGGCAACGTAGACGGCGGCGCAGTCCACAGCATGTCCCGGAGGGCGGCGAATGTCGAGGATGATCTTTGGCATGGTTTGGCCCTGGCTGCGGTACACCGACGATAAGCATCCGGCCGTCAATGATATCTGTCGCCGTTTGAAGGTGAACTTCCTTTTGTTGATGCCGACAATTGTGAACTTACGCTCAACCGGTGCCACGGCCATAACTCCCCTCTGCAACACATCTAAGTGTAGGCCGGCGCCATCAGCAGACTTGATGTAAACGAAGATTCTGAGTGGCGCGTACCGAAGGGTGACAACGGAGTAGCCTGCGGTACTGCTGTCGTAACCTTCACGTGGGTCAAGCTCAATGCCACGGATGATGCCGTCGGAGTTGTTACATACCCCAAATAGGACGAACTGTGGGCTTTTGTGAAGAACGACTGGCGCACCGATAGCAAGGCATGCGCTGGTGGGGAGGTCGTTTGTTTTGCCGTCGTCGAGCGATTTTATTTCGCGACGAAGTCCTGCAGGCCATGGAGCGTCCGTTGGTGGTACCTGTGCCAGTACGGAAGTTGCAAAGGCCCTTCAGTCATGCTTGACTCCTTATGTTTGGAATGTTTGGAAACACAGGGCAAGACTCAAGCTGTAAGAGCAGAGTACATGCGATGTTCTCACCTCCGCGGCGGCGCCCGGTCGTTGGTGCCCCACGTATATGTCATGGGCTGGCGCATCATCGGCACAGTCAAGACGGTGTTAACCTGCAGCGGGAAGTGAAGGGATGGCGAAATATTAGGGCAGGTAGATCGGGCGGAGCAAAGAATCAGTAGTATCTAGGCAGATACCTTGTTTCGGAAGGGGGTGAGGTAGAACGGGGCGAAAAGAAGGGTTATAGAAGAAGAATCATACGGAATGTAGTATAATGATACCTTGTTGCGGAAGGCGATGACGCGCGCGTCGAACAGGGAGTCTGCCTTGCGGCTGGTGCGCATGACATGGCTGTTGATGAGGTCGACGTCATCGGAGATGCATTCCGAACGAAGACAACGCTCCATTATGGGCGCGTAGATGGGCGTGAAACGGTTGGACTCATCAAGCATGACACAAGCATTGGCGCTTCTGAAGAGATCAGCACCATACCGTCGGGTAACGGTCATGTCACGACGGCGAGTGGAGACTCCGGCACCACACGCGAGTGATTTGGCTTTGACCGGGCTGGAACGAAAAGTAAGACGACAACAAAAGAGAGGAAGAGAAGGAAACGGCAGATGTTAATCTATGTTTCCAAGACAGTGATCCGAGAGAGACAGACCCATGAAAGTGCGACATCTATTCGTGAAGGATCAACTCTAAAAGAAACGTACCTCAATTGATGGAAGTCGCCGAGCATGACGACGACCCTGTTCCCGAATGGTTTGGCCTTGTGGAGGGGGAACATGGAGCACGCGGCCTTGTGAAGCTGAACGAGAAGGTTGCACCCGACCATGCTTACTTCTTCCATGGCAAGCACAGAGACACCCTTCCAGTGCATGGCCTTCGCGTCGGGCAGAGAACTCTGATCGTCATGATCGCCAGAGAGGTTCCCGCCGTCCCGACTACCCGTGGAGCAGACAGAGTGAACGGTAGTTCCACCGACACTAGCTGCTTGCTTTCCTTGATAAGCCACCGTGAGCAATCGTCCGCGCGGTACTTCTGCTGCGATTGCTGGGCACTCGATGAAAGCTTTGATGGCCTTAAGGACGTGGCTCTTGCCCGTCCCAGCCCCTCCACCGATGTATATGCGAAGTGCCTCGGGTGGATTGGGACGACTTTGAGCGAGCAGCCCGTTAGCGAAGATGAAGAAGGCCAGCCTCTGCCTTCGGTTGAGGCCGAACTCTTGCGCAATGCTGACGGCGACAGAATGTTGCAATTTTGAAGTACGCCCGACGTCAGTTTGAGCAACAGCAGCGTTCGTCGCTACACGCCTGGCGTCCCGTTCTCCCCGTGCTTCGTCCGATAGGCCTTCGTGGGAAGCTGCTCTCAATCGGATAAGGTACGGCTGAACCGGTGGGCCACAGTCGGTACCGGTAGAGTACGACGGTGATGAAACAGGCTGTGCGTCGTCGGCCATTGACGCCGCGCAAGAAGTCGACTTTTGCTGTAGTGAAGACTCCTGCCGTGCCACAAATAGCGTCGATGCCGCTACGTCGGTGTCAAGGACGATATGCGAAGCGTCTTCCATAGTCTGTTGGCGTGTCCGGCCGCTCCGCAAAGGAAATGCAGTATCCGGCAAGGAGTCGTCTCCGCTAAAACCAGCCGCAAGGAAAGATCTCAAGGCATCGTTAACGAAAAATTCCGTCTGCAACCGACGCGCAGAAGTTGGGATAACGCTTCGGCCAGGCTCATCATCCCCGTAGTCACACAAGTGGACCTCGGCTTTATCGCTGTTATCCTGCTGTTTATCCGGTGACGCGGTGAAAGAAGCATTTTGGGCTTCCCGCTTCGCGGTCTCTTCTGCTGCGGCCAACTTCTGAGCCAGCATCCCTTTAACGAAGAGCCGCTAGGGATACGTACGCGGGTCCCACGCGTCTGACGTGTCGACACGTGTGAAGGCATCCGTCCAACTCTCACCGGTGGTCTTGATGTCGTCCAAAGTAAAGAATGGAATGTACATGCAGAGCAGAAGACGGCAGTGCGCGACGGGTTGAGTGTCCTTGCGCGGTATGTCTCGCATGATGTTGACCATCGCCGGTTTCTCCCGCAGAACCTGCAGCAGGAGGAACACGCCCGAGTTAGTACAACAAATAAGGGGATGGTTACAGCAGTTATGAGATGTACTCTTATGACTATCGCGACGCGTTCTGCCTCGTGCTGTGAGCTGACCTGTTGCCACTTGTGCTTGTACTCTCCAACGAAGTCGTACCGACACGCGCGGGGTCTCCCCGTCCGGGCAGATGCACGTCTTCCGGAGGGGCTAACGGGGTCGCCCGGCTGCACGGTGTCGCAGTCGGAGTCAGTGTCGGACGCATCGGAAGACTGCGCGAGGTTCGGTTGTCTGTTGTCCAGCGGGTCGTACCGTACTACGCGGACAAGCTTGTGCCAAAAGACGTAAGACATCCCGTGAAGTACGCGGCCGGTGTCATCAGGATGGCAACGATTGCGGTACAGCAAGTACGCACGTTGCGCCACCGTTAGCTTCCCTTTGAATGGTGTGATGATGACATCACTGTCCATAGCGTCTTCCGTGTCGCTGTCGCTCCCATCGTCTGGACGGCTGGTGTCACCATCCAAAGGGCCATCTCTTGAACATGCCCACGTCAGCAACGGTGACATTGGGCATGGCACGGGGTGGTGGGAGATCTTGTGGTCCGGCATGTCGAGTACCTTGCTAGCAGCCGCCGGCCCGCCAATGTTAAGACTGGATAGCTGTTTGCAGAGGTAAGATCGCACAAGGCGCACCGCAAGTTCCTTGTCGTCCACTCTGTCGGCCTCGTCTCGGATCCGTTCCACTACTGGCACAAGAAGGGGCAGCAAAATGTCCAAGGTTTGCTCAGTTTTGGTGCAGTAGTTTAAGATGTAGAAGAGGATTCCTTTGGCGTCGCTCTCTCTGAGCAAAACCTTGAGGTCCATGTTACTCCGAATGGCAAACTGGATGACAGGGTTGAAGCTGTTGATGTGGCTGTGCAGACGACGAATATCGGCGCTGAAGCGATCGGACAACGGATCCGGCAGTCCGTCGTCCCCGATGAGTGTTGCAATGGATTAATCGAAAGCTTTCTGGAAGGCTGGAGTGGATGCAGCCGCGGCGGCATCGTCGGTTGAGTGAACGGAATACACGACTCCATCATGTTGCCCTCCGTGTCGAAAACGCATCGTCCCCGTTTCACGACGGTTTCAGCGACAAGTGGCTTCCCTTCTTCCCCATAGCCAAACCTGCACGGACAGAGGAGGAAAGAAGCAAGTGGTACTTGGCAGTGTGTCGTGCAGGAAGGAAGTGCGACTGTAGGCGGGACAAGTTGAGAATGGAAGCATGCAACATATGCATATCTGACCTCATGGTTTGAAAAGGTTGTACAGGTGGCCTGTACTTGTGTAGGTCAGCGCGAGGTGTGATGGAGACAAGTTGACAATGGGAACACGTGACATGGCTCACCTGCAGGAGTTCAGATGGTTGTACTTGGTGCAGGTGGCGTTACACTTGTGCAGGTTAGCTCCAGGCGTGATCCCGGCAAGGTCGAGATACATGAGACGGGCGTAGGCCTGGTCGTGAACAGGACACCGATCTTCCCCGTCCCGCGGAAAACAGTTGGTTGGCGGCGCGGTCGGCAAGCACTCCTTGGCATGACGATGGTTTGGGTCCGTTTGGCACGTGTCGCCGACAGGCAATGTTGAAATACCTTCTAAACCGCCGTGCATCACGCGGGTGATGTCGGCAAGGGTCGCCCCCTGGTTGAAGATGATGTTGTCGAGGTACTGAGCAAGTTCCGTGTACCGCGCTGGGGTCCTATCCATGAGGTCTCGGAAGCTGGCGAAATCGTTGTAGCCGAAGACCCAGACGAGAAGGTGACGGTGAAGTACGAGTCGCTTTTGTTCCTCCGTCATCCCCACGTATCCTTTAACGCGACCGAGAATTCCTCCATCACCGTCAGAAGCACCGAAGCGAAGCAAGCATGACAAAACGCCGTCGATGGTGTTGTGGAAGAAATCAACCGAGGCGACCGGGTCGTTCGCAACCAATCTGAGCTTGTCGACGTAGTCCGGAAAGTTTACCTTGAGCTTGCTCGACACATCAATGTCGACCCCGCACATTTTGACAACAATTGGGCTGTTGATGTCGGCGGGGTTGATCGTCATCCAAATGAGAGGCTGGCCCATTTGCATAATGTAGGAAATAGCAATCATCCGTGTAGACCTCTTGTTGTGGGGGGTCCAAGACGCCCCGGGATGGACTGACTCCATGGTTTTGATGAGAGCCGCAATCCCGGCCCGGTCAGACAAGACCGAACCATTGCCACGGCCGTTTTCCATTGCTGCTGCAGCATCAGCGAGGTCCTCCGGAGTAACTGCCGCCAGCGTGCGAGAGTCTGCCGGAGAAATTCTCCCGGTCAACTTCCAACGGGCGTTCTCTATCGCCTCCCTTCGAAAGATAAGCGCGCATACGCAGTAAAGAAAGGTGCGGCTTTTTCTGAACCGCGCATCACGCCGTCGAACAAGAATTTGCGCCCATTTCTTGAGGGTGAGAGGTCTCGGACGCCTGTCCAAATGTCCTCCGACACCGTGCGGGAATAGGTCGAAGTACGCACCCGCGAACAGCCCGGCGTTCTTGAAGTCCGAAACCATGCGCCCGGAGTGTGTGAGCACCAAAGCATTGTCGGTTCCAAGTGGAGAAGGCCTACCCGCTAGAACGGCAGCTTGTGCAGCAGCGGCTTGCGCCAGGGATGGACCGCCAGAGGCAGTTTGCATGGCGCGACCAACATCTCTTAGCCGGTTTGGCTTGCATGCGCCGGCAACCGCAAGGTCATCGCCGGTGTCAACGACGGCGTTGGTTTCGATCACGAAAGGGGCTGTCGGGCCGTCATTCGTGCTCTCTAGTCCACCGTCCGGTGTCGGGTCGTCCTCGCGGTTACCATGGGCATGCGTTGATCTGGCGTTAGAGTAGGCTTTGGTGCTGTCCTTAACTGGGAGAATGGCGTCCAGCACAGCTTTAGGGATAGACCCGTCGTTGCTGTAGCCGTCAAGGTTTTCCGGTGCTAGCTGAGCTTGACGAGCTAAGGTGTGTTGACCTACTAAGCGGTTGTCTCTGTCCAGCTGAAAGTCCAGTAAATCCTGCACCATTTGGCGTCGTGCGCCAAGCAATCGCCGCAGCTGCGCAAGATTTGGCTTGCACCCGACAAGAGCGCAAGTGAACGACCCTGCGATGTCGGTGTCGCAGGCAGGAAGCCACAACTGCACACCGTACGCGTCTTGCATGTAGAACGTGAACGTGCCGCGCATTTGACTCTTGGCAGAACCACTCACACTCCCCGTCTTCAACTCGTCCAGCGCAAGAACCATGCCACTAACCCGAACTGGGCTTGCTGCTATCATTTCAACGAACGTAGCGGATCGCAAGTGTTCGGGGAAGTCGCCAAGCCAAAGACCATTGGCAAGGGCCGCCTCCGGAATCCGTTCCTTCAACAGGCTTTGTAGGCATTCCTTACACACCTAACAGATTTGCATGAGTGGAGTGTTTGAGGTAGAGGTGAGTGCGGTGCACGGGGCGTATCACCCGAAAAATGAGGTAGTTCGAAATCAGCCGGCAACTGAGGTAGACGACGACTTCGAGATGAAAGTGTCCGGGTCCTGCACGACGGTCTCAGTTTACGAAGTGATCTCACCTGCATGCGGTAGGGGGACGTCGACTCGAATCCCAACCGCTCAAGAACAAGCCCGTCGAGAAGTTTCGGAAAGGAATTGTCGCCAGGGTAGTTGAAAAAAGTACCACGGACGGCGCTGCATGCGAGAAGCTTGTCATCTGCCTTGAGAATGTCCTTGTGCGGCAAGTCCTTGGCGGCGACCAACTTGCAATCCATGCTTTTGCAGTTCCGGTCGCAGATGGCACACGAAGTACTTAAAAATAGAGCGAGGATAGAGAACACAGGATTAATACAGAATTAGATGACGCAAGGTGTTCAATAAATTGGGGACGATGGAAAACTAATTAAATCCGTTAGCAAGAAGGCTGAGTCTTACGGCGTGATTATTTCTTGGATTTTTTGTTCTCTCGGTCGGGGGTGGGGGTGGCCTGCACGGAAAAAATTATCAAGATTCAAACGACCGTCTTACGTTTCCTCGAGGTATATTTTTTTCTGAAGGGAAAAAAGAGGCTGATTCATGTTCTTGTGAGTCATATATGCTTCAGTACACGGTTTTGGCTCGTGTGCGACCAACAAGGCACCGAGCGCCCTGTTTATCGGTCGCCTGCAGAGGGCATGTGTATCATCGCACGCCAGTGGCTGCAGTTTGTGGATGTCGTCGGCGAAAGGCCTCTCTCTGGTGGCATGCGTTGTACACTGATCAAACTCTTTCGGAGCAAGCGGCAGCAAGAAAAAGCAACGTCCATAAAAGGCAACACCGAACCACACCTCGATTCACGTTTGCAGGCCGTGTGCAATCAAAACTGGACAATACGCCCTATTTCTGGGACGCAAATTATTTTTTTGGCTCAGAAAAGGACCCCCCCCCCCAAATCCAATCCGGAAATAATCAGACCGCAAGACTCAGCCTATAAGCCGCGAGCAAGATCAAGGGATAAAAGCGAAGGATCGCAAATAAATACAGGACGCGCATGAATTAAGTGCAAAGGTTCAATAAATTTGAGACGATGGAAGACGAATAATATAGTCGCGAACAAGAGCGGAATAAAAGCGGGGGATCGCAAAGAAACGACGTGCATCAACGTACCTTCGCACGGAGTTGACCATGTGGTTGGTGAAGTCTGAAAGGCACTTATGCAGGACAGACGGATGGTGGATGTTGTCGAGCATATGGGGTCGGTCGTGACCGTCCATCCTCCCTTCTGGGCTGTCTGTCGCATGCTAACACCGGGGGAGTCTTAACGACAGGTACAAAAGGTGGCGGTCCCCGAATTCTCCGAGTAGCTGCTGCTTTAGCTTCCCGACTTTTTTGTCTTTCTTCCGCGTTGGCTGCCGGCGTCATACGCTTCCGTGCTGCAGCTTTGGCGTCGCGGTCTCTCTTCTGGTAGGCAGCCTTCGCGGCAGGTGTCAGCCTTTTCCGAGCTGCTACTGACTCTCTCTTTTTGTTGAGGAGGGCGTCCCTGCAAAAACACCGAAGAACGAACAGTAAGTGTAAGACACACGTGAAGTATCTCCTTGCAAAAAACACCCAACAGAAAGTGTAGACACACGTGAAGATCTCTCCCTTTGATAAGTTGTCTGTTAAGCAAGAAACAACATACGCAATTAGAACACACGTGAAGTATTCCCTTAGATCTCTCCCTTTGATAAGCTGCTGTTAAGCAACAAACAACATCGCAACGCAATTTAGAAGAAGATGTGACGTCACTACGTAATCTGCCTTTTGAAAGTTAACGAATGCTTCGACGAGAACATCGTGCGCGCATATGTTACTGTATTGTAAGATCGCATACAAAAAGTAGTATTAAAGTAGTATATCAGGCCTGTCATGGTCAATTGTTGAACCCCAATACAAAAACCTACGACGATGGTTGTGTAAAATCACCACACCTCGTTGTAGCGGCAGCCGCCGCTCGAGCTTGAGCGCGCGCGCGGGTTGCTGCCTCTCGTTCAAGCGCCATGCGATTCATCCGCTGCGCGCGCAGGTTGTCGTGCGTAAGGCGCTGCCCCGTAGAGGTCCGTGTTGCACGTCCACCAGACCCGCCAGATCCAAGAGCTAAGAGATCAAGGTTTTGAACGTCACTAGGTCCATCGCTGGCAAAGAAGGAGCGGTTGGAAGTTGACGGACGAACCGGGCGTCGGCCCCTGCTGCGGCCAACAGCAGCAGTGGACTGTTTCGGCGGCATCGCTGCAACGAACGATGACAAGGCCAGCAATAGACCGATGCGTACAAAGGACAAAAGCATGACTCGCACACCGAAAGGAAAGGGTGACGTCAGCAGGTGTGCCTCGTGACCGGAGAGGACAGGGGTACACCAACCGGGCGAAGTAGACGGGACCGTGAAGGAAGTGATGGGAGGAGAACGAACAGGGGGTCCGCAGATATAACCGAACCGGAACATTTTTCACCGTGGGTAGCCGCTTCTTACAACAGAGTACTTACAACAGAGTAGCAATATACAATCTGATTGCCTGTACTTGTGTATGCGGAGACAAGAATGCCATGTGCCCTTCGATGTAATTCTTGTTTGTTGTTTGTACGGTCCCAGAGTGAGTGCACCGTTTCTAGGGTAACTTAGCCTGTGACCACGGGGGGAATCGACCGCGTCAAGTGTTGCATCAGTACTTATATATGGCAAAACGCGGTCGGTCGTCCTGTCGTGACCATGTTTTTCGGTGCAGGCGGGGCGTACAGGCGATTCGTTCATTTGTTGCTGCCTTCATAATGTTTGTTAAACCCACAGCAACAGCAGCGTGTTTCTTGTCCAACGTCGTATCTTCTCTTCCCTCTGTCATCGTCATGGCGCATGATACCGCGATCGATCGTCCTGTGTACGTTGATCGAATTTTATCGTGTACTCCGAAAGAGGTAGTGCGATTCGTTCGAACCTTTGTAGTTTTTTTATCGTGTACTTCGAAAGAGTGCGATTCGTCCGAACCAACAGTCGAATGTTGTCATGAAGTGATGGAATCGGAATGTGTGCTAGAGTTCCATTTCGTCTGAATCAATCTGTCATGAAGTGATGGAATCGGAACGTGTGCTACGATAGAGAGAGTTCCATTTCGCCCGAATCAATCGAGCATTCTTGAATAATGCCGATCATTCATTATGTTCGCCATTCTTGTGCAATAATGCGTGGCTGTACGAAAAAGTTCCTGTATCTTTTTGCAACACACTACTACTACAAAAGGAAAGAGTGCGATTGATTTTCACCAAACCAATTTAATACCGAGACTGTGACCGTTGGCAATTTTCATTCAAGGTGTTGCCTCTACGCATCCGCCCCCCTCTCCTACTTGCGCACAAAGACAACACAGACATTCTCGTGCAATATTCCGTTGTCGGTACCAAAGAGATGTCTTACTACTACGTGTCCACAACGACACCACAGCCAAACACCAACCGATTCGTACCCACGAAAACACCGCCAACACGTTCGCTCATACATGACGTACGTACATGCCGTATTATTTCCATTGCTTCGAAGCAAAACTCATAAAAGCAAAACAAATATCGACAAGAGTATCGACAAGAGAAATGATACTCTCCAGGCTGACTGAAGCTACGTACAACGCTCTGTGGCGATCATTGTGCTGTCCGAGCTGAGTGGTGGTCATGATGCGTCGAGCCGGAACTGTTCAAGCCTGTTTATTGGGGAACGAAGAAGAACGGCACGGAAAAAATTGCGAGAAAAACCGGAGGGGAACCGATGAGCGAGGGTGAAGGGGCAGGCAGGCAGTAAAAGGAAAGCGACGATCCTGTGGGATAGCACGCAGACCACGCACGATGCACGAAAATATGACATAAAACTGCAACAACAGCAATAAAAAAAATGTACACAAAAGAGGGATGACAGAAAAGTGTCCAAAAAATAATAAGAGATGTAGAAGCTGCAAAAAATAAAATAAGAAGAGAGGAAAACGAGTAAAGGAAACCAGGAAGAGATGCACCAAAAGATGACATAAGGTAAACTAGTAAACGAAAGGGACAGTGACACAAGAGGTTATTAACAATAAGTAGCATGCAACAAAAAATCAACCAGTAATAAGAGGAAAAACAGCACACAGGAAACAAGCATGCAACAAGAAAGGGACAGCACAGGAAACAAAACAAAAACAAACCATCTCACTTTAGGCGTCGTCGTCGTCGTTGACGCGGCGGCGCTTCGGCGGAGTCGAGTTGTTCTCGCGTTTAATACGCTCCTTTTCTAACTCTTTCGAGACGATGAACAGGATCGCCGCACGCTTCTTGAACTTGCAGTCCTGGCAGAACACGTGCTCTGCCTTTCCGACGCCCATGACGTCGCGCAGCTCCTTCGTGGAGTCACAACCCGAAGCCGCGCAGGTGAAGTCGGACCCTTTTAGCAGATCCTTTCCCACGCACAGGGCCCCGTCCGCGTGCAGGTACACGGTGCGGGCCATCTTGTTGTAGGGATTTATTTTACCCTTCGGGTGTGGCATACGGAAGTACGGCGCGTCGTACCCGATCAGGTCCTTGCAAAAAAAGCAAGTAAAGGGCTTGGAGAAGCGCTTGGTCTTGCGCTCGTCGTCGTCCGGCTTGGACGAAGACAGGGAGATGGACTCTTGGCAGTCAGTGCAACTGGATTATTCCGAAGCAAACAGAAAGAAAGGAAGGGAGCGAAAGGCCAAAGGAAAATTGGTTGACGCTAATAAGAATATATATACAAAAATGAGTGGAGGGCAACGGGGTGCACCGGTGACTGGCTGTGCTTCATTGGCGTGCCTCATGCTAAAAAGAGTGGAGAGGGGGGCGTTTAATTTGTGGCTGCTTCCTGAATGCATGCACTTATTATTGCCGTGTGGAAACAAACAAACGCCGTCGAGCCGAGCGCATGTGATTCTCGTTGCTGGCGCATGGTTTTTGTAGGGATGAAAAAAAATCACCAACGGCTCTTGGGGCGTATTACATCTTCAATAAACTGTACAATACATCGAACACATGGAATAGATAATAGTCAGGCATGCCAAAATGCGCAAAGTGCGCAAATGGTAACCAGCAGCAGCAGCAGCACACGGCAACGGCGGCCGCCAACAGACAGCAACAGAACGCCCCGCTGGGTGCGTGGCTGCGTACAAGGTCTCACCTCGTCCCCCACTGCCTGATTCCAGGCGTCTCAAAGGTAGTGCCGCGGCAGTACAGGCATGTTTGGGTAGCGGCCTCTTCGGGGGTGAGCTTGGGCATGACGCGAGGAATCTGGGCCACTTCCTCCTCGAAGTCGCCCCACATTTCGGCGATCTGCTGCGCTTCCGACGACATGATGTGTGAAGAATCCGGGCTTCTAACGGAGGATGAGAGGGAGTGGAGAGGGAGAGGAAGTGACCGATGTGGGGGCGAGCGCGGAGTTGGCCCAGGGGGCCACGCGGCTTGGCAAACGATCCGTGACGAAACGATCTGTGACCCATACCGCATGTGCCTTCGAAAGCCGTTCCTCCTCACCGCGCACAACCCCTATACTCTGTTCCACTCTGTCTGTCCCTTGTACACACGGTACGTACTGCTTTTGCCTACCACTCTAGTCCTCTCGTCCGCATCAACAACAAACAATGCAACTTGCCGCACAACAAGAGCCATCCCTGCAGGAAAAGCTGTACAAACAAGCAAAAAGCAGCTCCTGCTGCTGTAAGCTGCTGATGTATGTACCATTTTTCAGCACGCACGAACAACAGATACAGCACAGGCGAAGGAGCTGAGTCTGCCTGTCTGTGTCTGCGTCGGCGTGTGTAGGGGTGGGTGTGAGGTATCGATAGAGTAACGACAGGATGTTTTTTTTTTTATTTCTTTATAGGACACAACGAAACCATCTCCATCATAGAAAAGAGTCTGAGACAGATTAGCAATGGATTCATAGCGTCAGAAAGTACCTGTATGTCTACGATTTCCCAGACAGCATATAGGGAAATCTCCCCTGCGGGTAACAGGCTCAACAAGACAGTTTGGTAGCTGTCTTGTGTGGTATATGTTATGTTGGGAAGGTGCAGATGATATATATGTGTTAGGTACTGGTCGGGCGTTTTGTGTGTGGCACCCTTTTAGCCGTAGGGCATGCAATCTCCCTCAGTTTACAAACGTATTTTCAATGTGGTACGCGTATGTACCGGGTATTTGGGTATGTATATATGTGGATACATTTCGGAGTATGTGCGGACACACGGGCGTGGTCTCACTATTTTCT